CCCGTCGCAGACCACGGCCGGTTGAGGTAGATGTAGCGCCCCAGCGCGTTGATCTCCACCTCCAACATCACGTTCGACAACACGCTCACGTCTGACTTCACCAGCGCGTTGCCCGTGAACGTCTCCGCCGTCGAGCCGAGATAGATGTCGACGTCCGTCAGCCGCTCCGCGCAGCAGTCGTTGCGGTTCTGCAGCCGCACGTAGCGCACATACACCTCGCTCCCGAGGTCGACGCCCCACCATTGGCTTGTGTATTGGCCGCACTCGGCCCACGGTCGTCCCGTCGTGCTGTCGGCATATGAAAGATCGCTCACGGGCGCCTGCTTGTCGAAAAGGCTCGAGTCCTGGTACGTGGTGGCCGTGCGAAGGTCGAGCAGCTGCGCTGCTGGTGGCGGCGGGAGCGGCGGTGCCCCCGGTGGCGGCGGGACGGGCGGGGCGGATGGGCCAGGGATGAGCTGCTCCTCGATGGTGGGATTGGTGACGCTCTCCACGGAGACTCCAACCATTGAGCTGAACGCTGAAGCGTCGCTGGTCACGCTCTGCACATTGTCTGCCAGGCTGGAGGCGGCGCTGGCATCGGCGACCACGAACGTGACGTCGACAACCACGCTGCCGCCGGCAGAGACCACGAGCAAGATGGTTTCGGGCAGCACTCCTACCGCGGGTGCAAGGCGCGACGTGAAGTTGTCCTTGTCGAAGGCTTCGATCGAACCCGCCACCGTCACAGATAATTTCACAACATTCCGCCTGACCCAGCCGGGGTGCAACGGCGGCGACGAGGGCGGCGGAGAGGGCGGCGGCGACGGCGGAGGAGGCGAGGGCAGTGGAAAGGGCGGCGGCGACGGCGGAGGAGGCGAGGGCGGCGGCGACGGCGACGGCGACGGCGGAGGCGGCGTCGCCAGCAGTAACGGCGGCAGCGGCGAGAGCGACGGCGGCGGCGTCGGCGGCGGTGGCGCGGGTGGCTCGAGCGGCGGTGGTGTAGGCGGCGGCACGGCGGGCGGCGGGTGCGGCGGGCCGACGACGGTGGTGGTGGTGGCCATGGCGGACGCGGGGATGCCGAGCGAGGCGGCGAGGCTCGACGGCGCGAGCGCCGCGCTCATCGACGAGGACGTTCCGCTCGCCGCCGATGACGACGCCGAGCCTGTGCTGACGACGGTGACCTGCGCGGCCACCGCCGCCACCGCCACTGCCGGCGACCTAGTAATATACCTA